TGGGAGTTATACCTGATGTAAATGATGAGTTGATGGAAGCTGACGAGTTGATGGGTGCAGCACACCAACATGGCACAAGTATACATATAACAAACCTGCACGTTATGCACATGTACCCTAGAACTTAAAGTATAATAATAATAATAATAATAATAATAATAATAATAAAGAAAAGTTCCAAAGAGAAAATTCTACAGGATTTGGTGTGAGTTGTAATCTTCTTTAACGTTAGATTAAAATCTAAAAAAGGCAACCTGCACATTTGTGGAACATGTGAATTATAGTATATTGGTAGGTGGACAAAAGACTATAATAAATGTAGAAATAAATTACCTACAGAGGTCATAAATGTAGTAAGAAACAAGAAAAAGAAATTCAGCTTGAAAATATTAGACTAACATGTCAGAGAGATAATCATTCCAAACAGAAATATTCACAGTTTTGAAAAAGATTACCATTCAATAGCTTTATTGAAAAACCAGTAAACAGAGAATTTTGTACTTATGTGTTTTTAGATTTAATCTTAAACAAACAAACAAACCTACGTCTATTCAGTTTCTATTCTGGAGCATTCTAGATCCATAGTGGATCATTAATAAATCTGTGCTTGTTGACAAACATATTAGCAAGAATTAGAAGTTCAGGACCTCAGGCTTATAACAGAGTCAGAATAGATACATTAGAAAGAAGGGCTTCTAAATATATAATTTTCCTACTTAATAACCATGTTTTATCACTTTTTTTCCCTGCAGAGAATTACATTCCCACACCTTGTAATGCTCAAATGTAATAAAATAAAATAAAGTATGCACCTGAAGTTCTAACACATTTATTTGTGATGTTTTATTCTTGATGAAAACATTTTAAACATTTTAGACAAATCTTTTTTCATTTATCTCAGAGCTCCTTCCCCCACCTATCTTCATATTTCATATTTTATAATTTCCCATATAGCTGGAGAATAAAAATAAAGTGAACAACTAAAATACACAGAGTATCCTCAAGCCATATTTTAACCAGCAGTAAATTTCCTTCTATACTGTTATGTGTAGATTACTGTTAGTAATACATTTGAAGGGGTTTGATTATAATCTCTCTTAAAAGGTGGTTAATGAAATTATTAAGATATTCTTTAAAAATTGATCAGTTTGAATTACTCTGGTTTGTATATTAGAGCTTTTTCAGAGCTCTGGGGATTTGAGATCTCAAGAATTTTTCAGAGATTTGAACACAGCCTTCTTGACTCACCATTTGAGCATTTCTCAAATGGCTTCGTGGAATACTTACTTTTGTATGTGTGTGTATGTGTGTTTGTGAGTATATGCAGATAACCATAATACACACACTTGGGTGTAATTTATTTCTCAAATGTACCTCTTAAATGGTTCTATGATCCTAATATTTACAGAGGTGCTATCATAACAAAATGGAGGAGGAGAGATTAAGCCAGGTTATTTATAATGCAGTTTATCATAGCCTTGCTATTACTAATGTACATTGTGAGTCTTTAAATGTTACTGTGAATCCCACTTTTTCTCAAACATATTAGACTCAAACATGTCTTCAAAAATAAGCTTTTAAACAAACTGAAACAAAAACTGTAAACAGAAAGGTGCATGAATCATAAGTGATCAGCTCACTTAATTTTCACAAAAGGGACACTCTTACAAATAGAATTACATTGATCAAGACGCAAGGCATTATGAATAATTTCGAAGCCTTTTTCATGACCACTTTTACTCATGGCCCTCTCTGCTATCCTGACAGGTAACATCACAAGTTATTTTTCCAAGTTTTGATGTTATAAAAAGACATTACATAGAATATACTCTTTTGTACTGATTTACTTTCCAAATATGAAGAACAAATATAAAGTCAACAACTGAAATCCATGGAATATCCAGAATACTTAATTACATTTTCGTTTTGAGAAACTGTAGTGACATGCAATAGTGAGAAACAGTACAGAGAAATTACATACACCTTTAACCCAGTTTTCACAAATGGTAAAAATATTGCATAACTATAGTACAATATTACAGCAGGGATACTGGCATTGACATAATCCAATGACCTCATCAGATTTCACATTTTACATGCACTTATGTGTGTGTGTGTGTGTATGTATTTATTTCTATGCAATTGTATTACTGTGATGGTTAATACTGAGTGTCAACTGATTAGATTGAAGGATACAAAGTATTGATCCTGGGTATGTCTGTGAGGGTGCTGGCAAAGGAGATTAACATTTGTGTCTGTAGGCTGGGAAAGGCAGACCCACCCTTAGACTGGGTAGGCACAATCTAATCAGCTGCCAGCACAGCTAGAATATAAGCAGTTCAGATAAATGTGAAAACAGAGAGACCAGCCTCGCCTCCAAGACTACATCTTTCTCCTGTGCTGGATGCTTCCTGCCCTTGAACATGGGACTCCAAGTTCTTCAGTTTTGGAACATGGACTGGCTCTCCTTTCTCCTCAGCCTGCATATGGCCTATTGAGAGACCTTGTGATTATGTGAATTAGTACTTAATAAACTCAGCTGGGTGTGATGGTGTGTGCCTATAACACCAGCTACTTGGGAGGTTGAGGCAGGAGAATCACCTGAACCCAGGAGGTAGAGGTTTCAGTGTGCCAAGATCGCACCATTGCACTCCAGCCTGGGTAACAAGTGAAACTCTGTCTCGGAAAAAAAAAAAAAAATTAATAAACTCATACACACACACACATATTCCATTAGTTCTGTCCCTCTAGAGAACCCTGACTAATACAATCACATTTTTGTATTTATGTAATTATCACCATAGTTAAGATATAAAGCTGTTCCAAATTCACAAGGATCTTCCTGCTTCGATATCCCTTTGATGACTACATCCACCTGCATAGCATTCTCTCCCACCATCCCACTCCCATCTATAACCTCCAGGAACTACTAATTTATTTGCTATTGCCACAATTTTGTCACTCCAAGAATGTTACACAAATGTAATGAAATAGTATGGAACTTTTAAAATTTGCTTATTTCACTAAGCGTATTTGCCTTTAACTTCATCCTAGTTATTTCATGTATTAATATGTTCCTTTGTATTGCTAAGTAGTATTCCATGGTATGGATGTAGCATAGTGTTTAAAAATTCACCATTGAAGGACATTTGAGATATTTCCAACATTGAGTTATTATGAATAGTGGTGCTCTGAACATTCATGTATATGTTTTTGTATGAACATAAGTTTTTATTTCTCTGGGATTATTGATCAGAAATGTAATTCCTGGCTGATATGTAAATATATGCTTAATATGTTTCAAGAAATTGCCAATCTATTTTCCAGAGTGGCTGTACTATTTTACATTCCCACCATCAATTGTAATTGTGAGGAGTAATTGTTTTTCCTCATCCTTGCTGTCATTTGGTGCTTTCACATTTTTTTTTTAATTTGCCATTGTGACAGGTATCTCATTCATTGCGCTTTTGTTTTTTCAGTGGCTAATAGTGTTAAACATAATTTCATGTACTTGTTTGCCACCTGTATATATTCTTAAGTAAAAGGTCTATTTATGTCTTTTGTCCATTTTTTCTACTTGGTTTATTAATGTTGTGTTATAAGAGTTATTTTGAGACAGAGTTCTTTATATAATCCAGATACACAAATTTTTTGTGAGATATATATTTTGCCAATATTTTTTTCCCAGCATGTAGCTTGATTTTAATTTTTTTTTCAGATTCTTCACAGAGCAAAAGTTATTTTTATTTTGGCGAGGTATAATTAATTTATAATTTTGCCATTTATGGATTATGCCTTTAGTATCAATGCTAATAACTCCTTGTCTAGCCCTACTTTTTTTTTACATTTTTATAATAGAATGATTTATATTCCTTTGGGTATATACCCAATAATGGGATTGCTGGGTCAAATGGCATTTCTGGTTCTAAATACTTGAGGAGTCGCCACACTGTCTTCTTCCACAATGAACTAATTTACATTCCCACAAACAGTGTAAAAACATTCCTATTTCTCCATAGCCTCACTAGCATCTGCTGTTTCTTGACTTTTTAAATTATTGCCACCTTGACTGGCGTGAGATGATATCTCATTGTGGTTTCGATTTGCATTTCTCTAATGATCAGTGATGTTGAGCTTTTTTTTTTCATATGTTTGTTGACCACATAAATGTCTTCTTTTGAGAAGTGTCTGTTCATGTCTTTGCCCACTTTTTTTTTGGTAAATTTCTTTAAATTCCATGCAAATTCTGGATAATAGACCTTTGTCAGAAGGGTAGATTGCAAAAACTTTCTCCCATTCTGTAGGTTGCCTGTTCTGTCTGATGATAGATTCTTTTGCTGTGCAGTAGCTCTTTAGTTTAATTAGATCACATTTGTCAATTTTAGCTTTTGTTGCAATTGCTTTTGGTGATTTAATCATAAAATCTTTGCCCATACCTATGTCCTGAATAGTATTACCTAGATTTTCTTCTAGGGTTTTTATGGTTTTGGATTTTACATTTAAGTCTTTAATTCATCTTCAGTTAATTCTTGTGTAAGGTGTAAAGAAGGGGTCCAGTTTTAGCTTTCTGATTATTAGTCCTACATTTTGTCATGTATACCAAACACACACAAAAACACACAGACACACACCAAAAAGTGATGGTTTTTTAATAGAAAGTGTATAAAACATATTGCTCAATTTTGATAGAATTTGCATCTTTGCTAACTTTTTCAATCCATGCATATATGTCTCTCCATTTATTTAGTTCTTTCAAAAAATTATTTGATCAGCATTTTCAAATTGTCAGCATATAGGTACTATATATGTATTTGAAGTTTTTAATCTAAGTATATTATTTTCTTTAGAACAATTACAAATGGTATTGTGTTTGTAATTTCTGTTCCTAAAGGTTCATTATTAGTTTAGATAAATTGAAATTTGATTTGTCTGTTGATTTTTATGCTGTGACCTGGAAGAATTCATTTTTTTTTTTTTTTTTTTTTTTTTTTTTCTGATAGGGCTTTTTGTTGCCGGGGCGTCAGAAGTGGATTGAAGGATAAGCTTCTTTGGCATTTTCCATGTTTATTATCATGCTATCTACAAATAAGGACAGTTTATTTCTTTTTTTTTCTGTGTATCTTATATTTCCTTTACTTGTCTTTTTGTGCTGTCTAGATGTTCCTGTACTATACTTAATAAAAGTGATAAAAACAGGCATTCCTTAACAATCTTACAGAAAAATGCATGCAGTTTGTCACTCTGAAGTGTGACACCAGCTGTAGGTTCTTTGTATATGTTCTTTATCAAGTTGAGGTACTTACTCTGTTCTTAAGTTGGTGAGAATTTTAGCAGGAATGGATGTTAGATTTTCTGGGCCAATTAGTATGATCAAATAATTTTTCTTCTTTAGTTGGCTGATACAATAGATTACATTGAACAATTTTTGAATAGCAAACCAGCATTGCATACCAGAAATAAGTACAACTTGGCCATGGTGTGTAAATTTTTTTAGACATTGGTAGATTCCACTTGATCATATTTTGTTGAAAAGTTTTGTGTCTAAGTTCATTTCCTTTTTTTTGTATTTTTGAGACCGAGTCTCACTCTTTCACCAGGCTGCAGTGTAGTTGCGCCATCTTGGCTCACTGCAACCTCTGCCTCCTGGGTTAAAACAATTCTCCTGCCTTAGCCTCCCTAGTAGCTGGGACTACAGGTGTGCACCACCATGCCCAGCTAATTTTTGTATTTTTAGTGGAGACAAGGTTTCATCATGTTGGCCAGGATGGTTTCGATCTATTGACCTCATGATCTACCTGCCTCAGCCTCCCAAAGTATGGGATTACAGGCATGAGCCACCATGCCCAGCTGGTCATTTCCTTTTTCATACTTATTTGTTCAGTTTTTGTATGAAAGTACTACTGGCTTCACATGACCTGTAAAGGACATAGCATAATTTATCCATTCTAAGAATTATAGACATTTGTATGTTTGACAGTTTTTAATTACTACAAAAAAGTTGCTATATACTTTGGCAAATATATAAATGAATTTCTGTTGGAAATAATTCCCAGGGTAAAATTGCTGAATTATAGGTAATATGCATGCTTAGCTGAAATACATATTACCAAAATTTTAGCGAAACTGGTCATAGCAATTTACCAGTATTGAAAATGGCCAGGTGCTGTGACTCACACCTGTAATCCCAGCAGTTTGGGAGGCCAAGGCAGGTGGATCACCTAAGGTTAGGAGTTTGAGACCAATCTGACCAACATGGTGAATCCCCATCTCTACTAAAAATACAAAAATTAGCTGGGTGTGGTGGTGGGCACCTGTAATCCCAGCTACTTGGGAGGCTGAAGCAACAAAATTGCTTGAACCCAGGAGGTAGAGGTTTCAATTAGCATTGTTTCAGATGACTACAATATCCAAATAGTTATCTTCGTAGTAAACCAATATCTATGCAGAGAGTAATCCCAGAGCTTCAGGGAAAGATTCCAATTTAATATATTAATTGAGTCAGAATTTTCATTCAGTTTACTCCCCATCTTGAACTGTTTCTTTTCAGAGATATAAATATAAATATATATATTTTTATTATATATATACACACACATATATACATATACATACACACACACACACACACACATATATATATATATTTGCTTCCTGTGATTTTGGGTTAAATTTAGACCAGATTATCACATATGAAAGCAGTTACAAATAATATACATGCACTCAAAGCTGTAAGACATAGTTACATATAAGCTACGAAAGCTCTTGCAGTGGGTCTCCAGCCTTTGGATACAGGCCCTGCCTCGGGCTTCTCTTCTCTACTCTGTCATGAACTACCACATAATAAAATCAACTATCATAATATAACACAGTACATGTTTTCCTATAAGTGAAACTGATTTGGAGACACATATGGGAAAAATGAGATCTGGATTTAAAGAGGCAGACAAACAATATATGCGCATTTTGGTGATTAATGTTAATATACATAAAACAGTTGAGTTTTGTATATTGAGTGAATATATTATTTGTAAAAAATTTGTAGGCTATGCATTCAAACCTCTGATCATCAAAAACACATTACTTCAGCTGTCTTATCAAAGGTATTTTTTATTTTACAAATATAATTTTGACTAAGTTTGAAGTTTGAAAAATGTATGTTTTACACCCATATTCTATGAAAGTAATAAAACATAAGATTAATACATTAATCAGAAATAAATTGCAGCTATTAATACAATTTAGTACTTGCAATAAATCTGAAAACAAGGCTAAATGCATTGTAATTACTTTAATATACTACATAATGTGTTTGAAATGAATGCTAATTATAATATTAATCATTATTGAACATTTGATAATACATAATAGCCTTGTGATGAATAGCAACAATATTTAAAAGCCACTGAATGGTGCATATTTTCTGTCTCTACTTACTATTAATTGATGCTAGAAGTTTCTTATTTTGAAGAGTCACACACTAATGGAATATGTTTCTATATTTTATGTATGTTACTTTTTTTGAAAATAAAACTATAGTATTAAATTCATTCAATTCAGTACAAATAATTATAAGATTCTATGGCCCTTTATTGTTTTCAATGTATTTTTAGAGACCCACATACTTATCTGAACAATTTCTTCTAGCTCAGATTAAAAAGACTTGTGTCTGTTCACAAGGATGATGTATTAGTTCTCATGTTGCTAATTAAGACATACCCAAGATTGGGTAACTTATAAAGGAAAAAGATTTAATTGACTCACACTTAAGCATGGCTGACCTTGCACCCTCTGAAGCAATGGCCTAAGCTGTACCTTGACCTCTTTTAGCCATGGCTGGAGTGACTGGAACTCAGGGCACCAAGTCCTGAGGCTGCACACAGCAGGTGGGACCTGGACCCGGCCCAGGAAACCATTTTTCCCTCCTAGGCCTCTGGGCCTGTGATGGGAGAGGCTGCTGCAAAGGTCCCCGACATGTTCTGGAGACAATTTCCCCCATTTTCTTGGACATTAGCACTTGGCTTCTCATTACTTATGCAAATTTCTGCAGTTGGCTTGAATTTCTCTCCAGAAAATGGGTTTTTCTTTTCTCCTCTATCATGAGGCTGCATATTTTCCAAAATTTTATGCTCTGTCACCTCTTGAATGCTTTACTGCTTAAAAATTTCTTCTTCCAGATACCCTAAATCATCTCTCAAGTTAAAGTTCCACAGATCTCTAAGGCAGGGGCAAAATGCCACCAGTCTCTTTGCTAAAGCTCAGTTAAGAATCACATTTGCTCCAACAAATTCCTCATCTCCATCTGAGACCACCTCAGCCTGGACTTCGTTGTCCATATCACTGTCAACATTTTGGTCAAAGTCATTCAACAAGTCTCTAGAAAGTTCTAAACTTTCCCATATATTGCTGTCTTATGAGCCCTCCAAGTCTCTAGGAAGTTCCAAACTTTCCCACATTTTCTTGTCGTCATCTGAGTCCTCTAAACTGTTCCAAAAAAAACTGTTCTCTGCCTGTTACCCAGTTCCAAATTAGATTTTACATGTTCAGGTATCCTTATAGCAGCATCCCACTCTACCCATATCAGTTTACTATTTTTGCCAATTCTCATGCTGCTAATAAGGATATACTCAAGACTAGGTAATTTATACAAGAAAGAGTTGTAATTGACTCACAGTTTTGCATGACTGGAGAGATCTCAGGAAACATAAACATGACAGAAGGTGAAGCAAACACATCTTTCTTCACATGATGGCAGCAAGGAGAAGTGCTGAGTAAAAGAGGGAAAAGCCCCTTATGAAATCATCAGATGTCATGAGAACTCACTATAAGGAGAACAGCATGATAATTGCCCTCATGATTAAATTACCTCCCACCATGTCTCTCTCATGACACGTGGTGATTATGAGAACTATAAATCAAGGTGACATTTGGGGACACAGCCAAACCATATCAGGTTGTTAAAATTATGTTACCTAATACTGAAAGATCTGTTATTTTTAAACTCAACTTTCACTTTTTATTGTTATAGGTAAAATTTTTATAATATTTACTTTGTTTAGTATTAGTGTACTTGAAGCATGAAACATGCTATATGAGACTCTGGGATGGATATATGCACTGTAAAATTTAGAAAAAAAATACTTCACATAAAGTTAAAATAAGACATTAAATTCTGTAGCAAAATAGAGGATGAGCTAAACAAAGTAAAATTGTTTGGCATAGGGGTATAATTTTAAATTCTGTCCTTCTTCCACCATACACACTTATGCAAAGCACCCTTTTCTCCCATGCCCACCACACCATCAGCAAGCCTGGGATCTAAATGTGTCTTTAACAAGAACAGTAAGAGAGTTTCCTTGGAATCTTTCAGTTACTCTATATAAGTTAGAAAAGAACAATCCTAAATATACCCCTTACCTGAAATTTCCAACTGTAGTAACAAATGAGAAGGCTTAGATCGGTGGTAGAACAAATGATCATTTGCAGAACAAATGATCTAATTGTTTAGAAAATCACTATACAAGTTGCATGAACCACTTGTCTCAAACTTCTGTGACAAACAGCAATTTATATTTCTTTTTTGTCCCACCTAACAAAATATTGGAGGCCTTTATCTTTTTTCTCTCTCCCTTTCTATTATCTGAACCCTTTCACCAATTATTTCTTTAAAAAACTTAGAATTGCTGAGACTTTTAATTCACTAACTTAGCCTCATAGCTTTTGCCAGAATTTTTTTTTTCATGTGTGCAGAGATTGCATTTGGCTATATACGGTGATCATAATGAATATATGATTGAAGGAATACTTAAATTTAGTAAATAGTCCTTAGAAAAGTCTGACGATGGATTTATTTGCTGCTTGTTTCAAAGCCACACGTTAATGATCCATTTAAAAACAAATGCAATGCATTTGCTTGAACAGAATTGTATTATTTATGCCTTTGAGAATAGTTTAATTATATACTACAGACAGATGATGTTGCTATTATATTTTATTACTTTAGGAAAAAGTGTAATTCTCTTTTGTTTTAAAAAGCTAAAAAGTTGTTGCAACTGTCATATTATTTACACAGATGGCCTAAGAAATATTTCAAGTTTTCCCCTAAGAAAAATGTTTTCCTATTCCTTTGAATTATTGAGAAAAGTTTCAATTGTTTAAACATTTTAATACCCCCTGCTAAACCTCTGATTATTTCAGTTCCTTGGCATAAATAAAATGATAATCTATTCATTTAGAGTTAACTACAATGCATTCTCCAAGCAATCCATAAATAATGATTTTTTTTAAGTTTTTACAATTTATTGACTAAAGTTGTACAATCACTTTTGACATAATTTATTGTTTGTAATAGGTGAAACAGACATATGAAACAAATGAAAAATAAATATCTGAGTTTTTAATGCAAGCATAAGAAGCACAGAGACAGCTTTAGGAGGAGTTTAATAAGAAAGAGTTTATTGAGAAACTGTGATCTGATCAGCATTTTAGAAATAGTGTAGGGTGGTCAGCAGGTCCTGGGGCAGTGCAAAAGCAAAGCAATTTCTGTAGTTTCACCTTGAGGATGAAGTGAGTAACTGTTCCCCTGGATAGGCTGAATGAAGCTTCCCTAAAAGGGCCTCCTTTGTCATATCCCATAACTTCCAAAGAGAGGATTCAGCAAATTGTAAAATTGTGTGACCTTAACTTGTGGCTTCTGAGTTGGCAGGGCATTGTTTACATATGTTACAACTCTGCAGCAAAACAAAAAAAAATAGCATAGCTACAGTTCTATGCCACATAAGTTCTCCTTGTCATCCTATCACAAATGAAACCCAATCCTAGGGTGCGCTGGTATCCCTCCTAACATAGAATGCACCCCAGAACTAACGCAGGAACAGAAAACCAAGCACTGCATGTTCTCACTCATAAGCGGGAGCTGAACAATGAGAACACATGGACACAGGGAGGGGAACATCACACACCAGGGCCTGTTTGGGGGTGGGGGCTAGGAGAGGGATAGCATTAGGACAAATACCTAATGTAGATGATGAGTTGATGGGTGCAGCAAACCACCATGGCACATGTATACCTATGTAACAAATGGGCAAGTTCTGCACAAGTGCCCCAGAACTTTAAGTAAAATAAATAAATAAAAAAATAAAGATAGATCTCGTTTATACTTTAAACTGTTATTCTCAGTTCCCATATTTTGAGACAAATGAGATAGGGATAATTTATTTAAGTACCCTTTGGTATTTGTAGTAACAGTTGTTATTCTTGAAAACAATATGTATCAAAATAATGTGTAGGCATTGTAGAAAATTTAAAAAACCCAGACTAGCATGAAAGAGAAACTAAAGATTACCTGTAATCACACCTCCAAGAGAAAAATCACTAAGACATTCTGGTTTCATGGTGAAAATCTTTTTGGTTCCTTTTTCTCTTTTTTACATAACACATATACAACATAATACATAACAAATTGTATCATATAAACCCCTTCAGCTTCTTATTATTATTACTACTATTATTATCATTATTATTTTGAGACAGTCTTGCTCTGTTTCCCAGGGTGGAGTGCAGTGGTGCGATCATGGCTCACTGCAGCCTGAACCTCTGGGGCTCAAGGGATCCTTCCACTTCAGCCACTCAAGTAGCTGAGACTACAGGCGTACGACACCTAGCTATTTTTTGTATTTTATTTTTGTAGATAAGGGATTTCACTATGTTTCCCATTCAGGTCTTGAACTCCTGACTTCAAGCTATCTGCTTGTGTAGGCTTTTAACTTATAAAACACTGTTCACTCACTGTGTAACTTGTCATGTTACTGAAAATTTAAATAACAAGGAATACATAGAAAACAAACACCAATAGCAAAACTTTAAATGATGAAAGAGAAAAACTGCAAAAGTACTACAGTTGGATCTTTAATTTTTTGACTCTTCCACAGGCAGCTTCATATACTAGAACAAACAGAATCCTTGGCTTAATAAATGAGTTCCAATTTTGATTCCATTACTCAGTAACTAGCTGGTTGTGCTAAGTATCAGGTTGGTGCAAAAGTAATTGTGGTTTTTGGAGTTGAAAGTAATGGCAAAAACTGCAATTACTTTTGCACCAAGCTAATAGCTAAGCGTATTACCTAGCCTCTCTGAGCTTCAGTTTTTACATGTCTTTGGATAGCTTACTAATAACCATCTTAAATATTGAGCCTGGCCACAAGGCAAATAAAGGGATTGGCATAGTGTGTTTTGCATCGTAAAGAACATAAAATACGATTTTTAAAATAGTTCCTCATCCTCAAGAAATACAAAAACTTTTCCCAGGAGTTATGTGAGTGGAGATAAAGGAACATTAAAAATATATTTTTTGTTGATATTGGGAACAAATTTAAAAGAAAAATATAAAAATAAGAAATAAAACATTGTTCCAATATAATTCAACATAAAAGAGTTTTTTGTTTTAAGTTTTAAATACGTTATAGTTATTATAGTCAGAAAATGATAAACTATTTAGATTCAATAGGCAAAAACCCTAAAGTATAAATTTGTTTAGAGTATAAACACAAAATAAAATTTAGAGACAATTTATGAAATCTAATGAAGCTGAATATAGAGTTGAGGCATAGAGTAGAAAAACACAATGAAATATTTCTAGCGTTACAGACAAATGGACAGCATGGTGGCCGTTAAGAAGAGAAACAAAGAAAAATTTACCCATAGCAACCCAGATGTTTATCTCCTTTGTTTGACAAAAGTTGCTATATTGATATATTAGATGGGAAAAAAAAAAAAGACCACATTTCTTTTCTCATGAACAAAAAAGAAAGTATATGAATTTTTTATTTTCAGACTTTCTGACCCCCAAAAGGTATTGAACTTTCTTTGAATTTTGATATCTTTGTAATTTTAACCTTATCCAAGACAAATATTAGTATAGATTTAAAATGATGAAGCCCTTTGAAAGTAGTAGCCAATTTCTTATACAGTCAACTCCACTAACTACCTCAATATTGTAATGACTTACATTTTTTTACTTTGATTTAAAATGTAATTTCTTTTTAACGAAATCAAATGCCCTTGCTCTGTTTTTCTTGTGCTGGTTTAGAGTTGGACCTTGTTTGTTTTAGCTACATCCATTATACTTTTACCATGTTAGCCCAGACCCATTAAATCCATCTTACCACACAGTTTCATCTCATGTGGGGACTATGGATTCTTGTTTTTTCAGCTTGATGTTGGCTCCTGGTCATTATTTTTCCACCAGTGATTCATTCAGCCTACTTTTAAAGCTTTGAGCATATTTATTTAGGCAGAATGTAGTTAGTAGAGTAGTAAGAATGTAAAAATAAAATGCAAATGAAACTCAAATTCTGTTTCAGGACTTTTAGAGATTTCACTGTGATTATGTAATATCCCTTTGGCAATGAACTAGTTTTTTTCATAATGTTTATGGAATAAACAAAACATTTTTAACTGTCAGATGACTTGATAGGCAGGTTTGACTTTGATATTGTAATGAATTTAATTTTACAGTTAGTATTTTTCTTTTTTTTCACTCCAAAATGAAAAGTTTGAATATTTCAAACTATGTTTGTGACCCTCTACATTCTTACATTTATATTCTTCCTTATTGTACATTTTGTATAGATGACTTTCATAATCTAAGCAACAAGTGTATAAGGTAAATTCTTTCTGTTTTAAAGTGATGAAATTTAGGCACAAAAATTGTAAATGGCTTGGTAAAGTTCTTATATCTAGAATCAGCTGTTGTAAATCCAATCAAATTGCTCTGATTCTAATTCTGGGTGTTTCCTATAACTCCAGTGTTGTTCCTCTAGTTCTTCGACATCGACATTTTTCCTTGTCTCCCTTTTTGTGTCCTTCTGTTTTTCCCTTCTTCTACTTAGATTCATTCTGGACACTATGCTAGAAGGAAATATTATTTTCCTCAGTGTAGTTGAGCCAGTAATTTCGACTAGGACTAGAATATTTTGCATACAATCAGTGATAGGCCAGAAGGAAAGAACTTTAAGAAGAGAAAACTCTGGAAAGAGTGATCAAAATATATAGAGCATTAAGTTCAATATGAGGTTTGACATATTGCATAGCACATTCATGTAAATATTTTCTCAGGTTTTCTGTCTTTGAGATATTTCTTCTGCCCTAATTTTAACAAATTATGGTGCTAATCAGATACAGTAAGCTATACTCTGTCTCACCTCAAATTTATTCTTAATCTATTAAGCCTTGTTCTTCGGTTTAACATTTTACTAATGACTCTCTTGAAAAACAATTTGACCCTTGAATATTTTTTCTCAAAGACATATGTTATAAATAACATATATGTTTTTCAGAAGATAAAACTCAGATACAATGAAAAGTATAAAAAATAATTACATTAAATCTTCAAAATATCGAAAATAAATAATCATTAATATGGAATTATCAAAATTTACTATCAACAGGCCTGCTTCTAAAAGGAGGTCTTTACACAGAAAGAACATTATCTCTGACATTGATCCAGTATTGCAGGAAAAAAAAAAAGAACTCAAAAAATGAATGTTGTCTGTTTAAAATAATAAATTAATGACATGCTGAGGTTTAAAATATGAGAAATTAGAACATATGACATCAATAGCACAAAATATAAAAAGGGAATAAGTGTGGTTGTAGCATTATAATAACCAAATTCTAATATTGCACAGTTTAAATTAGACTCTAATATGCCAAGGAATATTAAATAATATGCTGCTGTCAGATAAACAGAACAAAATATAACAATAAAATTATACTGATGTAAGCAAATGAAGTGAAATAAGAATTATAAAAACAAACGAATTATAGAAAGAAAAAAAAATTATAGATATAAACTGGAATCGATCACTAATCACATGAAATGGATATTGAGCATATTCTCCTGTTTAGAAAAACACAATCAGACTCTGGATTAAAACAATAAAAACAGCATAATTAACAACTATTTAAAAATTGTAGATACAGAGACAGAACAGTTGAAAGTAACGAGATTGCCAATTATATGAAATCAGGAAAACTAATTTACTTTTAACAATAGACAAATATTTCAAACCATATGCATTACAAGACATAAAAAGGACATTTCTTTATGAAATAAAGTATGGATTCTACAGGAAGATATAACAATCCTAAATGTATCTAAGTATCAAAATTTAGGTTTAAAGTGCATAAATTACAAAGTTGATAAAATGTGTACAAGAAATAATAATATGAAAATATTTAACAAACCTTTTAGTTACTGGTGAAAATATAGAGGAACTAAGCATATAGAAGATTGAAAACTTGTTTAACAAACTTTACATAATAAGCATGTATATAGACTTCTACACTCAATGACTGCACATTATCCCTGCTTTTAAAATTACAAATAATCATAGACATTGACCACATATTGAAAAATAGAGAAAGCTTTAATACATTTCAAATGATGGGAAACATAAACAGCATTTTCTCTAGCCTCAGTGGTATGAAGTGAAAAATCAGTTAAGAAATTCTAACTTAAAATCCCCAACTGTTAGCAAGTGAAACAAAACATATCTAAATAACCCATGGTTTTTTAATGATATCACAGTGGAAATTAGAAATTATTTTAAATAGAATAGAAATAAAATTGTGGCACATACAAGCTTCTAAGAATTAAGTAAGACATGACTTAGGGACAAATATATGTATATAGTTAATATATACTTTGCCTGTATATTTTATAAAAGAAAGACTATCATGTCTTTAAGTATTTATTTCAAGGGGCTAGAAGATAACGTGACAAATTAAACTCAAATAGAATTAAAATAAATATAGTAGAAATCAACGAGTTAGAAAGCAAGTGTAGAATATAGAAATATCAATGAAGACAAACACTAGTTCATTAACATGCTAATAAATTTGATAAATCAATATCAAAATTAAAAATTGAAAATTAGGCTGGGCACGGTGGCTCACGCCTGTAATCCCAGCACTTTGGGAGGCCGAGATGGGCGGATCACGAGGTCAGGAGATCGAGACCATCCTGGCTTACAAGGTGAAACCCCATCTCTACTAAAAATACAAAAAATTAGCTGGGTGTGGTGGCGGGCGCCTGTAGTTCCAGCTACTCAGGAGGCTGAGGCAGGAGAATGGCGTGAACCCGGGAGGCCGAGCTTGCAGGGAGCTGAGATCATGCCACTGCACCCGAGCCTGGGCTACAGAGCGACAGCCCCGTCTTGAAAAAAAGAAAATTATAAATTGCAAACTTCAAAAATCAAAAACTTTATTTCTATACCAATAATACAAATATGAATAATTTCTCTATGGCAGCTTTATGTAAAAACATTTGAAAATTTTGATAGAAGTGAAAAATTCTGTAAAAGCCCAAGCTTACCAATTCTGATCCAAGAATAAATAGAAAATGTGTAGAGTTTTATGTCTATTAAAGAAATTGAATGTACAAGTGAAAATCTTCAAAAAGGATACATTTAGCAATATATTTTTCTATTATAAGTAACAACTAACATCAATCTTACAAAACAATCTTTCAGGGGATAGTAAAAGGGTATACCTCTCACTCTTTTTCATGCCAGCATAAACTTTATACCAAAATCTGACAACAGAATTAAAAGATATTAGATATAGGCCAATAACAATCACAAACAGACATGCAAATAATAAAAAACACAGCATATCCAATTGCTCAGTAATGTATAGAAAGTACTGTAGATCAAGGCTAAGTTTCATTTCAGGAATACAAAATTGCTTTAATAATCAAAAAGCAAATAAACATAATTTATTACATTAACAAAAGAGATAGATAAGCTCACACAAATAGATGCAACAAAAGGATCTGACATGCCGGGTGTGGTGGCTCACGCCTGTAATCCCAGAACTTTGGGAGGCTGAGGTGGTCGGATCACGAGGTCAGGAGATCGAGACCATCCTGGGGTAAAACCCTGTCTCTACTAAAAATACAAAAAATTAGCCAGGCGCGGTGGCGGGTACCTGTAGTTCCAGCTACTGGGGAGGCTGAGGCAGGAGAACGGCGTGAACCTGGGAGGCGGAGCTTGCCGTGAGCAGAGATCAGGCCACTGCACTCCAGCCTGGGCAACACAGCAAGACTCCATCTCAAAAAAAAAAAAAAAAAAGGATTTGACACATTTTTACACCCAGGATTTTGTTTGTTTGTTTTTTTAAATAGTGGCAACTGGTATTTATTACAATTATATACAGTCCTATCTTCCATTCTGAGGTCTATACATGATCACACAAATGAACATGTGTTTCTTGGGGGGAAGGACAGAGCTGGCTGTTGGTCAGGAAAGCCCTGGTACCTGGCTCCTCCGAGGGAGTGAGCCCCCATCTCGCCATGGGATTAGCTGAACCATTACACGGCAAGCGAGGGCATCAGAAGCGCAGCATGGTTTCATTTGTCTGGGAGGACGACGGGGCACGAGTGGGGTTGGTGCTGGGGACAGGCACCTGCGGGGTCCAGGGCCGGGTCCAGGGAGGGAGGGGGACGGCAGACACCAGAGGGACCGCAGCTCCTCCTCCACTGAGGAGTCGGGAGGCAGTAGGGACGCTAGCTCTGGCCATGCGTGGTGTCACGGTAGTCAAGACACTCGGCAAACACACCCTGGGCAAGGCGTCTGTCTGGGAGAGGGGGCTGGGCAGGGGCTTGAGCCCCAAGGCTTCACTGCCTTCAACCTGACTTGAGATCAAAGCCAAAGGCTGCTGGGCCTGGGGCTGGGGCAGGCGGCCAGGTGAGAGGAGGCCAGGTGGACAGAAGTGCTACTCCCCACGCTGCCACCAGGCCGCAGTGCAGCTGAGGACAGCTCTGCCCCCTACCTGGGCTCCAAGCTGCCCTCCCAGGGCCAGAGAGGGAGGCAGGGTGTGGCCACGCACCGGCATACTGGACGCCGTCCTCAGGGCTGGAGGCAGTGGGCGCGGCCCTAGTCCCGCTCACTCTCGTGGCTGGCACCCTCAGGCCGCCGCAGCTTCTCCACCTGCTCGTTGATCTGCCCATCCCCGCCCCGACGGTCCTCCCTCTGCACCCCCAGGCAGTCCTCCTCGTCCACATGGCTCACGTCATCATCCTCTTCGTCCTCCTTGTCCCCCCTCTTCTCCTCCTCGCCTTGCACCTCCATCCGCACCTGGCCCTTGATGTCCACCACCCCCTCGCCTTCCTCTTGGGGGCCCAGCAGGTGGTAGGTGACCGTGGAGCCCTCGGGGCTGTGGCCTTCCTTCCCAGGTGAGGACGACGTGGACTCGTTGCTGACGGGTGAGATGTCGCTGCTGCTGTGGTGGTTCACGGCCGCGGGGCTGGAGGGTGACGGTGACTTGACCGGGATCTGCCAGGAGGGGATCTTTGGGGCTGATTGGGACGGAGGGAACTGCCTCTGATTTAAAAGAAGCCCTTTCAAGGAGTTAATTTCGGACTTGAGTTCGTTGATATTCTGGGACTCCAGGATCCAATTGGTGGATGTGGTGGCCTTGGCAGCAGCCAGCTCCTGGGCGAGCTCCTGGATCTTCTGCTGCTGCTGAATCAGCAGCTCCTGGACGGAGGCGAGGGTCGTCTGAAACTGAGTCACCGTCTGGGCCACGCTGCCGCTCAGCTCAGAGAGACCGGCCTCCATCCTCTCCAGCTGCTTCCTGTCCTCTCAGCCGCCCAAGATGAGGGGGAGCAGGTATTTCTTGTAGAGCTGGTGAAAGCCAAATGCGATGCCTGACATGATGATGGCCAGGGCGCCGTAATCTCGCCATCGGGATCCTGCGGGGCTGTATGGCTGAGATATGAGGTGAGGGGGCTGGACAGGAACCACCTGTGTGGCTGGGCCCAAGGACGAAGGCTCATCGGCAGCAGTGCCCGACTGCTGGAAGGCCATATCAATCTCTTCATCTGTCAGTCCTTTCTTCTTTAGGAATGCTCTCCTGGTTGCAAGTGGGCTCTGGCGGACCCGGGAATTCTGTAGAAACTTCACTGCCGTGGCAATCAGCGGCTCTCGAGGCAGCACATTTTCACTTCCTGGAGTAGAGCTTGGCTGGCTCGGCTGCTCTGCCTGCTCCGAAGACGCCATCTTTCTGAGGCCTGACTAATCAACCCACACCCAGGATTTTAAAAAATTATTAGTAAAATGGAAATGATAGAAAAATTATTTTCTTTCTTAGGAGTGACCAAATTTATTATTTTATTTTTAATTACTTACTGAGGTATTACTGACATCCAGAAAGCTCTACATATTTAAAATATACAACTTGATCAGCTTGGAGATAAACATGCTCCTTTGAAACCAATACCATAATCAATGTCATCAATATATCCATTGCTTTTAAAAGTTTCATCTTGCCCTCTTTATTCTTTTTAATTCATTAATTTGTTTCTTTTTGTGATAAGAACACAACACAATATCTAGTAAATGTTTAAGTATATAATACCTTATATATTATTACTATAGGCACTATGGTGTATAGTAGCTCTCTAGAGTTTATTCATCTTACATAACTTAAACTTTGTACCCTTTGACTAATACCTCCCCAATTCTACCTTCATTCACTCTGTCTCTATTAGTTTGACTATTTTAGATTCTTCTTATATGCGGGATCATGCAGTATTTGTCCTTCTGTGTCTGGCTTATTTCACTTAACATAATGTCCTCCAGTTTGTTTCAGTTGTCATAGGAAATTGATTAATTATATTTTTGTTGAGATGGAATAAAGCTATAAATTAGAAATGAGTAATATATAAAAACTGAAAATGAATAATAAAAAGCAGTATTTGCTCTGTAGTATAGTACAGAGATATGCTAAACAATTTTAGTAATGAAAATATGCTAGTAATTTAAGAAGAGACAAATCAATGGGATTAAGAAGAGTTTAGATAGATTTACACTATAATATAATCTCATATTATCAAAAGTAAATGTTTAGACTTTATAGAAGGTAGCATTTAAAAACTGACTTTGTATATGCAGAAAAAGAAAACATATCATTCATTTATTCAATCTGCAAATATTTATTGAGCCCCTTACAAAAGCCAGGCTTCACTCTCTAACCTGAGGGCTGGAGATATGTCCGTGGAACAACTAAAGTCTCAGCCATTATGGAATTTACAATCTAGTGGAAGAAAACAGAAATTAAAGAAATGAATATATGGTATGTTAGATGGCATGTACGATGCCCAAAAGTAAAGTGTGTAAAGGGGCCAGGCAGTTGTGATAGTGATAATGGTAGCAGTGAGGCTGGATTTGGGGTAGTGGCTGGGGTGGTGGCAATGTTAGTGAGGGTGACGTCGTAGTGGAGGTTGTGCTCATGGAGGTTGTGCTCATGGAGATGGAAGTGCTTGTGCTGCTTTTTGGGGGCTATTTGGTTTCCTATTCTATTGGTTGTCAGGGAAAACTATTAATGGAAATCTTTTGAACACAGAACTGAAAGAATGAATGAATGAATGAACAAAAGGAGATAACGATTTCTAAGATCCACTCAAACTCTTAGTTACCAGATAAATGAAACAACTTACCATGTACACACATACACACACACACACACACACACATACACACACAGAAAGCTTGTCTTCTGAGTGATCTATCTCTCTCATTAAACATTTATTACCATTCTAACATTTTGTTCTTCCTGTGGTCTAATTGTTCATGTTTATTGCTATTCCAGTTTGTAACAAATTCTTGAAACACTGTTGTCTTAGTCTGTTTTATGTTGCTATAACAGAATAAGTGAAGCTGAGTAATTTATAAAGAAAAGAGGCTTATTGAGCTCATAGTTCTGACTGGGAAGTCCAAGGACATGGTGTTGACATCTGCTTCTGGTGAAGACCACATGCTGCTGGGGCAGAACATGGAGAGGAGGGTCTAAAGGGAAAGGGAACAGTGGGAAGAGAGAAAACCCAGGGAGCATCTTGCTTTATATATAACTACCCGCTTTTGTGGGAACATGTCCATTCACATGGGAAATAATTCAATGTCTCAAGAGAGAGAGCTCACTTGCTATCCCAAGAAGGGCACCAAGCCATTCATGAGGGATCTTCCTTGATAACCCAGACACCTCCCACTAGGCCCCACCTCCCCACACAGCCATATTGGAGATCAAATTTAAACATGAGATTTGGTGGGTAGGAACAAGCCATATCAAAAACATCACAACTGTGAATGCTCAAGCCTTCTGTCTTCTATTTCTAACACCTTCATATCAACAAAAAAGATTACAGAATATGCACTAACACAATTTTTTAATGCTTAACCCTTCAGTTTCAACATCTTAGCCCAATTCAACATTATTAAATGATGTATAATCCTAGTAATCCTATGTATTAGACCATTTTCACGCTGCTAATAAAAGACATACGTGAGACTGGGTAATTTATAAAGGAAAAAGGTTTAATTGACTCTCAGTTTAGCATGGCTGGGGAAGTCTCCAGAAACTTACAACCATGGCAGAAGGAGAAGCAAACATGTCCTTATTCACATGGTGGCAGGAAGGAGCAGTGTCAAGCAAGCCAAGCAAAAGGGGGAAAAGCCCCTTATAAAACCATCAGATCTCATGAGAACTCACTATCATGAGAGCAGCATGAGGGTAACTGCCCTCATGATTTGATTACCTCCCACCAGGCCCCTCCCACAACACGTGAGGATTATGGGAATTACAATTCAAGATGAGTTTTGGATGGGGACACAGCCAAACCATATCATCTTATAAGTAAAGTAATACATCTTCTGGTACTTTCATTCAGTATTCATTTCATCTTAAATAAATGCAGAGAAATACAACAGAAGTTCACAGTTCAGTCACTGGCTTAAGCCACATATCCTATTTATGTGGAATAAGCCAGATTTACATAAACAAATCCGAATTTCTAGCTTAGTATTATATTCTATTACATGGAACACTGCATATTTGGAATGAGCAATTTTTAAATAGATTTTAGCCAATCTATTAATACTCTGTCGTTAATGGTTTTTCCTATATCAGTCCCATTGGTTACTGAGTTAAGTTGGCTTTATTTTTTCTTGTTTTAATTCATTTTCAGTTTGGTCCCCTTGGAGACCATATAAAAACACAAAAAATTTAATGTTTTTATGCTGAAAAGTACATTGATGAGAATGCTAGAAGGTGTATGTTATTCTTCATCTAGCACCTGATGTTAGGTCACTTATAAAATAAGACATAAGATCTTGGAATAATAAAGGATATTTGAAGAAAATAGGTAATACATTTATGCATTCTTATTGAAACTTAAAAAAATGGAAATAAAACTGGAGTGCTTCTTGAGCTCTACAAAAACTTCAAGTCCCTATCATAGCTAACTTACGTTCAGCTTTTTAATACTTCCATATCTTATGTTTTTAAATGCAATTATAAATATCTAACAGATACATCATGTACATATCTCATACAGTAATGTATGTCAATCTGCTATGAATGTGAACTGATAATTATTTCAATTTTGTCCTATTTTTAAGGCTGCTTCAAATATATTTTCTGCTTTTTACATCTATTCAGATAGTCCATCTAAAATAGTAACTTATGAAGTAGACACAGAAAGCTAGAACATGTCTCAGCCCTGCATTTTATGGGTCTAAAATTAAGTTTATTAATTCAGATTAATTTTACAAAATAGTAATATCAGCATGAAATATCATGTTCCTTAATGCATACTTGTGTTTTGTGACAACAGGTATCATTTCTGTTCAATGTATACACAGTACCTAGTATATTAACTGGCACATTAGTTTGTATTCCAAAATTGCTGTAAACTTGAATGAGTGCATTGAGAAAAATTGTTATAAATTGAAAGACACGGAAATCTAGATAGCATATCTTAAAAGTCAAGTTTGTCTTGGTGAATTAAGGCCAAAAGTGTATCAATGGGCAAACATCTATCAGTCATAAGGCTCGAAATAGATTGAAAACTCTGGCATTCTAATGAAGTATAATTTTCTTCACCTAGGCAAAGCCTGCCATTATGGCAGAATCATCTCTGGCACATTGGATGTTCTATTTATACTTTTATTATAATTACCATTATTTTTATTCTTATCTGCTCTTGCATTACCTTGGTTTAGGTTGATACTCAAGTCAGTCATACTTGCTTAGGACCTTAGTTTCCTGTCACATGTACAACTTCTACTATATTAATTATTTGAAGAGCCATTTGGGAAACTGAAATATTCCAAAAGTGGAACAGTTAACTTGTATTATTCTTCCACAAATATGGATAAAAACAGATTTAATAAACCCATATATGAAAAATGATTAGTCTAATGTAGGATATATTAATGTACTTTTCTTTTTTTGCACTTGTGTGTATGACTTTTTATACTCAGCAACTATCATACTTCCAGATGAAACTAATAATTCAATCACAATACATTCAGCATTGAAAACGCAGCTTCTTTATTTTTCTATCCTTTCTCACAAACCACTATCTCATAATTTTTCTTATTTGTAGAGCTGCACTTGCATTCAATTACTGTTGACATCTGCATGCCAAGTCATGGGCAAAGATGGGATACTTTTTGCTTCTAAGTCCCCGGGTACTCAGATGTAATTCAGTCAAGGCTCCTTAAGGGCTATTAGTCCATTTTCATGATGCTGATAAAGACATACCCAAGACTGGGAAGAATAAGAGGCTTAATTGGACTTACAATTTCACATGGCTGGAGGGGTCTCAGAATCATGACAGGAGGTGAAAGACACTTTTTACATGGTGGCAGCAAAAGAAAAATAAGAAGGGAGCAAAAGTGGAAACCCTGATAAACCCATCAGATCTTGTGACACTTATTCACTATTATAAGGATAGAATGGGAAAGACTGGCCCTGATGATTCAATTACCTCTCCCTGGGTCCCTCCAAAAACCTGTGGTAATTCTGGGAGATACAATTCAAGTTGTGATTTGGGTGGGGATACAGTCAAACCATATCAGCTATACACAACATTCTCATCTGTCATGGACATATTCCAGTTTAATAGTTTTGGTTAGATCATATGGGTCAACTGTGAGAATTGCTTGTACTGCATTCAAGATAAACTACAGAGACTCTTTTGTTCTTGACTTTTTTCAAAGCTGTCTTGTATTTTCATTTCATTTCCTAATTATGGATACGTTTCTTTGGTATATACAAAATAGTATTTTGTATTTTCATTTAGGCGGAAATGAAGTTGCTGGTCTGAATTAGTGAGCACTGGGTCTACACACAGGCAACAGAAGCTTGTATAGAGTAAAGGGTAGAAGGAATTGCCAAGGAGGGGAAGTGGTAGATTCAGCTTTCTAGTTTGAAGCCAGTGACAGCAGTGTGATTGGCCTTGCTTAAGAAAGAGGCTGGAAAAGAAAAAAAAAAAAAAGCAAACACAAATGCTGAAAAAAAAATCACTATGAAATTGATGCAGTATTTTTCTCAGTCCTTTCACTGGACTCATGGCAGAGGCACCCCATCTACTCAACCCTCTGTGCTCAGCCCCTTATGGGAGGGAACACATGAGAGCGCTAGTGCAAGATCAAGATGGACACTCTGGGCACCAACACAGGAGCAAGCTCCACATGAGGACCCATGGCCAGACCAGGTGTGTTGCCCTGAGGGGGACACAGTGGCACCCAAGTGAGGGCGCCTATAAGTCCAAAGCCTCAGAGGGGGTGTTACAGTGCTGTTTTAGTTCTGCCATCTGCAGTCTGATGGAGAGCAGTGTGTTAGCAGCTCAGTTGGCTCCTTGCCTCGTTGCATGGTGTGGCTGCTCTCCACCAGTGAGGGCAAAGTGCCAGTGTGACAGCCTTTTCTGGGTACCCTCACTTGGTGGGTCCCAAGCTCTTGTCCAGTGTCCAAGAAGAATGAGGTCACAAGGACAACTGAAGGATGGTGAAGGTGGAAAATTTTATTGATAGATGAAAACAGGTCTCAGCAGAGAGGGGAGCTGGAGAGGGGAAAAGAAGGGCAGGCAATCTTCCCTGAAGTCAGGTTGTCTTTTCCCCGAAGTAGGCCATATTCCCCTCTACCGACTGAGTCTGGGGCCTTTACAGGCTCAGGATGGGGTGTGCATGATGACTGGTTTGTGAGTATGCAAAAAAGCTTAAAGTGAAAGCACCATTCAAAGGTGGGCATGGCAGTGTAGAAAGACAATTAGAAAAGAGTAGGTACATGTACAATAGGTGAAGAGGGGGATCAGAGGAAAACAAGCCAAATAGGAGGACATGTTCTCAATCTGGTGTGAGGAATTAACTTGTAGTTTGGCTTTCAGGCTTTAAACTGTCTTTGGCTTGGAGGTGGGTTTTCAAAGGGTACCTGCCCCTATCTGCCTAGGCACTTGGCTGCCTTCTGTCCCTATCAAAATGACACTGGATAAACTTCAGGGTATGGATGGAAGAGTCAGGCATTTATTCAGGATCAAGACATAAACTAAAATTTCTAGTGGCCATGTTACTGGATCTGTGAAAGTCCTCAAATAGCAACAGACTATATTTAGGAGGAAGGACAAGTAAGAAGAGAAAGAAGAAGAGAGAGAGTTTATGAAGGGGAATGAAATCTGTGTAAACCATGTACTGTTGTTGTTGTTAAAGTAAATCCAGTTATTGTAAAGCCTTCACTGCACTAGAAATAAAAGTCTTGTGTAAAGGCTTTATTTAATTGGGCCCCAAATGCCCCAATTAAAATGTGCAGTTGGCAAGTTGGATAAAGAAGCAATTTTTAAAACAGATTGTCAAGATACTATATTCATTTTGTGAATTTGACCAAAAAGACAAAAGGAACTAGAAGCCTCTGATAGATTATTAGGAGGCTTCAAGAGGAACTGTAACACTCATTTTACAACTACACCAGTAAAACTGCAAGGATAACTAGCAAGAACTATCTTTAAGCCCAGAATCAATCGTTTAAGAGTAGAAGCCATATTTCTCAAAACTAATTCCTTCCATCATCCCTTTAATTTTTCAGAATTTTAGAGTTGCACCCATAGTAGGATTTCTAAGTCCCCTCAGACTTGCCCTCTGACTGAACATCTAATTGTAGCATTTTCCATATGTAGCCAGAGGCAGTCCTCATTCATATTTCTCTTTGTCCCTTTACTTTCTATTTCCTTAACTCTTAGAAAACTTTGGAGATTACTTCACCATAATCTTTTTTCTCTTATTATGTGTGTTTTCAAGGTATATTTTGTCCAGAAAAACAGATCTAATAATGCAACAGAACATTTGGTAACTTCCAGTAGGAACAACAAAAGTTAAATTTCAGTAATTAGCATATGTTGATATCTTTCTTCTTGCTAAAAATTACAAAGAAAGCTTAAAGAAAAACAAAATTTTTACCAAGTGTCATAATGTCTTTAATTACCAGCTTTAAAATATAGGATGAGGCTGCCTACCCACAAAGTCTCTGCTACCCATGTGAGTGCACACACTGAGGTCTGAAACCCTGCCCCACCTGTGCCACCACTGCTGCCAGTGTGAATGCACATGTGGACACTAACAACACTACCACTACACCCCCAGCACCA